AGAGAGGGAGAGATGCAGAGAGAGGGAGAGAGACAGGGAGACAGACACAGCGAGAGAGAGAGACAACAGAGAGAGAGAGAGAGAGAGAGAGAGAGAGAGAGAGATACAGGGAAAGAGAGTTAAGGAGAGAGAGGAGACAGACAGATAGACACACACACACACACACACACACACACACACACAGAAAGAGAAAGAGAGAAAGAGAGAGAGAGAGAATGAGATTTCCGTTGCTGTGCTTTGGTTTTTTTTCTCATTTGAGTCCATGTGTTGATCACCTTCTGTATTTAAAGTATGAGGTAACCCCAGTGGGTTGGAAATCAGAAGAAAACACACCAAAGGCAAGAAACACTAGGCCCTACTACTTTTGTTTTTTTCAGAGATGGGTCTCACTCTGTTTCTTAGGCTGGAGTGTAGTAGCACAATCATGGCTACCACAGCCTAGACTTCCTGGGCTCAGGCTATCCTTCTGCCTCAGGCTCCCGAGTAGCTGAGACTACAGGTGCGTGCCACCATGTCTGGATAATTTTTTTGTAGGGACAGCATCTTACTATGTTGCCCAGGTTGGTCCTGAACTCCTGGGATGAAGGGATCCTCCCGCCTCTGCTTTCCAGTGCTGGGATTATAGGTGTGAGCCACCGTACTGTTAAGCAGTACATAACCTCCTTCCACCCGTCTTTAAGACTCAGTGCACCTCTTCCAGGAAGACCCTCCTGACTCCCTATCCTGAGCTAGACATCACTCCTTTGCCAACAACTGTCCTTCTACCAAGCAGAGCGCTTACTGCAACTGTTTTTTGATGGGTCTCCACCCTCAACTGGACTGTGAATACTGTCTTTTTTGGAATTTGTAGTGCTGAGTTCAGGGTCATGCCCATAATAAGTATGCAGCAGAGGCTGGAGCAGGAGTGCGGGTAAGTCCTTACACAGATCCAGTTACGTGCACCTGCAGCCACTGCCTGGGGCAGCCTGGGAGCGCCCCGCTTATCTCAGCCGTGATTTCCTCCTGGCTGTCGGTGTCTCAATCCGCTCGGTTCCACTCACTGCATCTGGGTCCAGCAGGCTGCCCAGCCAGATCTTGACTTCTGGGTGGCTCTGGGTGGTCTTCCTCCTCTTTCCATCATCAACTGCCTCACATCTATTCTCAGTCACAGGTCTCTGCGCGGGTGACAGAAGGAAATCAGATAAGAGAACCTGTTGGAGTGAGCCCAGGATTGGCACGTGGGCCGCAGTGGTCTGTGGGCCACATCTTCATGCTGGTTTTCCCCTCACAGGGCACAGGAGCCTTGGTCATGCCGGGGTGTGTCAGGGACGCTAGAGGCTGGAGGCTGGGTGACACCGTACCACCTGACAATTTTCATTTTATACGAAGACACAGAGGGATACCTGAGGGGGCAGATCAACTTTTCTTTCTTTTTTTCTTTGAGTTAGGCGGGGTCTTACTCTGTTTCCCTGGCATGATCTTGGGTCACCGCAGCTTTGATTTCCTGGGCTCAAGTGATCCTCTGGCCTTAGCCTCCCGATTAGCTGGGACTATAGGCATGTGCCAACAATTCTGGCTAATTAAAAAAATTTTTTTGTAGAGATGAGGCCTCGCTATGTTGAACTCCTGGACTCAAACAGTCCTCCTGCCTCAGTCTCTCAAAGTGCTGGGATTACAGGCACTATGCCTAGCCAGGATATCAACTTTTCATAACATTACAAAGTTAAAATGAGACCTCAAAGGCACTTGATTTAAGACTATGCATCACTTAGGGTCATTTACTCCGTGCTGCTCCCCAAGTCCCAGGTCCCAGGAGGTCCAAGCTTATCCCCATGGGTCTTGGGACAGTGCAGGGGAGCGGTCTGGGCAGCTCCAGTGCTGTTCACTTCGGGACCTAAATTGGATGTTCAAATTGTATCTTGGACTGGTGACCGCACATTCATAATGTGCAGGGCCAGCTTGCATGACAGAGTCTTGGTTAAGTGTGCCATTTTGAGGTGGACCCTTCACCTTGCTGGCTGGTGGGCACCATCACCTGGCAATCCATCCCTCCATCCAGCCAACGTCTGCCATAAACCCTCTGCTGTTCTAGGTGCAGAGGGGATAACGGTGAACAATCATGCAGTTCTTATTCTCCAGCTCACGATCTGGTCAGGAAAACACAGTAAAAGAAGAGGAGGATGATTGAGCACACTGGTGGCATCAAACACACGACCAGAGAGTGGTGCATCATCTGAGGGGAACACAATGTCCAGCTGTCGGGGACAGTCATTTATCACTGACTGTACTCCTGCCAGGATCATCCCTACAACAATGGAAAGTCGCTCATTTTTATTTTCAGTCCTCAGAATTGATTTTTAAAATAAAAGTATATGCTTTACCTCTTGGGATTCTGAATATTTCACATGTTGGAAAAGAATGAGGTATGATTTAGCAGTTTCTCATGAAAACTTTGTGGGAGTAGAGGTATACATAAATTATGAAGGGCCATTTGATATTTTAAATATATCAAAGGTACTGCCTTTTCATTATTTCCTTTCCTGTAGTTGTAATCTACCCTGGAGAATCAAATAAAAATGAACACACATGATTGATAATTGCTTTAGCAACTGATGTCCCACAAGATCATTTTTAGAATGAAAATTTGTTAGAGCTTCCTCCCTTCCAAACCAAAGTCAGTCTTCTGCTTCCCTCCCTCCCTCCTTCCCTCCCTCTGTTCTTCCCCTCCTCCTTCCTTCCCCTCCCCCTCCTTCCCTTCCTTCCAAACGTCTGTGACAGTCTAATGGAACTCTAAAGAGTGTGTATAATGGTGGTAAGAAAGCCAACAAAAGTCGTCTAACTCTATTCAGACACTTTTCAGGGACAGACCGACCAGAGGCCATTTTATTCCAATACCACTTGTTGGCAGATGCCTGTCAGTGAGGGCCTCTCGTCCTGCCATGGCCATATGCAGATGGCACTCCTGTGGCAGTGGGCTTCAGTCTCATTCTCTCCTCTGTGGCTGAAAGCCTTGGCCTCTAGCGTGAATCCTGAAAGAGCCACTTCAGCTCATAAGCTGCACATTCCCCAGGCCTCCCAGGAGGCAAGCAGAGCCTCTCGGCGCTCTAACTCTGCCGACAAATCTGCTGGTGCCAGCACGAAGCCCCTGGGGATCCCTGCCTCTCTCCAGGCAGGTAAACACCCTCTGGTGCTGTTGGGAAGCCTTCAGCAGCGTGGCTTCTTGGGGGATGACGACACCCTGGCTTTCTCATGGGGATGCCGGGCTGCCGGATGCCTTTCGGTGCCACCACCACGGCAGAGCCAGGTGCACTGCCTATCCGGGCCAATGTCCTGATGCCTTAACACTTGGGACCCCGCACCTGCCAGGGCCAACTGTCCTCACGGTTCACCTGTGTCCTGTGAGGAAGCAGTGTCAGAGGGGGCCATGCGCTGGGTAGGGAAGGGGGGACACAGATTGTTTTGTTGCTGTTCACAATGTCTGAACTTTGCAATCTCTCTTCTCCAAGAGGCTAAGGCTTGATTTTTAAGAAATGAAAGGCAGTTCACTGGGAAAGCTCCCCTGCAGCAGAGTGGTGCAGACACGAGCACTCTTGGGAACGGAGCGACACTTGCTTGCTACCAGGCTGCTGGGGTCAGAAAGTACCTCCAGTGTCACCTGATGCTAGGGAGATGCTTTTCTTTCTTAACAGAACTTTCTGGTCAGCAAATTCAGTTTTCTCATCCCAAACTTGTACCCCTGTGAGGGAGAGAGGCTTCCTGGCAGGTGAAGACTTCCTGGGCTGACCTTCCATGTCCCTGGCCTGGTCCACCTCAGGACTGTCTCTTGAAAGCACATTGGCCTCTTGGGAGAAAAACTCTAGAAGTCTATGGCTTCTTTGTCTTCACAGAAATGTTTACTTTTATTCTGCAGCCCTGTGCCTCACAGTTCAGAACAGTTCCAGGGTGTTTCCCGAGGGTGCCCTGGAGCTGACCCAAGCCTTCGGTTGTGTTTCATAGAGGACAATCCCTCAGGAACTCAATTAATGAATTAAAGGTGGTACTTTGGGTTGAGGAGACTGTGTGTGTTTTTAAAGAAAATCTGTTTAAAACAAGTTACTTTTTTTTCAGATTGTTTTGAATGAGTCAAAACATAAAAAAAAATCCCCCAGAGAATATTTGCAAATTATTCTACACAGTGGAGTGTGAGGACTAAAAGCCAAGATATTAAAAAAAAAAAAAATCTAGGATGTATTAATCCATTGCCAATTAATGTGATGATAATTGTATGCCATAAGATCTTAAAAATGTATGAGTTTAGCAATTGCATTAATGCCAAAAACAATCCCATAAAGTTTTGGTTAATCAGAAAATACCTGTCTCACAAAAAAAAAACAAACCACAAAAAAACAACAGTTGGAAATCCTCTCCAAATGTAAAGCTTATTTTTATAAAAATAATCTGTCCTGCTTATAGGACTCCACATGACCCCAGTGATCTCGGAATCCCAGGCCCTTTCTGCTGTAGAGACCTGAATTGAATCTTACCCGATCTGCTCAGCTCCGTAGACAGGCCCGGGCCATGAGCGATGCCAGTGGTGGCTCACGGTCCTGCCACTGGAGGATCAGACCCTGGACAGGACCTGGGTCCACCCACTGCCCACCGGGTGGTCCCTGGCTTAGCACCTTACAGAAGCACAAGGACACTTGGAAATACATATCCTAACTCCAGGACAAGAAAGATTCTTCTCGGAGCTGACTCTTTCTCATATAAGTGGACACAGCACAGTGAATTACAGCTGGAGAAAAGGTCTGATACATGAAAACATTTAGGTGTGCCTCATCCAGCTTTAGCAATCCTCTGAATTAACCAGACAATAGTTTCTGGGGGCAAACTCTCCAGTGTTCTGAATGTTTGACACTTGGAAGTCATTGCACAGAAGCTAAATCCATCAGGTGACTCCTCACCATCTGGTGTGGAACAGATATGTCACAGAACTACCAGAGAACCCTCCATGATTTAAGCAAATGAACAAAAAAAAAAAATTTCAAATGTAAAATGCTCTCTTTTTAATTACTAAATTAAGAAAGTTAAACAATTTAAAAATGTAAACTCACAAATAAATCATAACAAAAAAGGAATTAAGACTTCAGAGTTGCTACTCAGTATTAAAAACTCAATAGAAATAGGGTTTTTGATTTTTTTGTTGTTAAACACATGTAATTCAAGATTGGTACAAACAGTAACTAAAAGTGTAATACTTTGTTTCTGTGCATCCCCATGGAATGTCAAGTAGTGCATAGTTATTCCACTGGAGAACTCTTGGACAGGTAGAAAGTCATTCGTTAGCAGTACAGGACATTTAAAACACTTATTTTACAATGGGAAATGTACAACCCCCCGCCCTCACCCTCCCCATAAATTTTAGTTGCGTGAGAAAGTTTAGCAGGTTGCCATGACTACAATGCTATGGGTTTTAGACCATTTAAATGTGGTTACAAGGTTTATTAAATTAAAAAAAGTTCTGAAACATGTCAGCATTCATATTTTTATACAAGAAGTCTGTGTGGTATTGACTTCCAGCTCCCTTGGTGATATCGGCCACGTGCGAGCTTAAGTTTTAAGTTTCAAGAACAAATTGCAGTAAGTTGAAGCAAATACTTTTAAGTTTCAAGAACAAATTGCAGTAAGTTGAAGCAGAACTTGGGAATTCTGCTCAGAGGGGTTCCTGAAAGAGCCAAAGGAACAGCCATGAACCCTAAAAGTGCAACCTGGTGAAAAAAGAAAAACATGCGTTTTGTAAAAGCCAAAAACGAGGCCCCTGGTTTTCAGAACACCACAGTGCTTGGATGCTGACTTTGCAGTGAAATCCGTGCTCGGGGTCCTCAGCGTGGTGGCCTGGCTGGCCTGGGTCTCCATGTTGGCGCCCGCATGGTGTATGTGCAGGGACATACAGATCATAGGTTCCTATTTATAAAAAGGAAAAGAGCAAACACCTGTCCTGATTGATTTTTGTTAAAACATGAAAAAAAATTTTATTGTTTTAGACAAAGAGGCCACTTTTGGAAAATAATACTTTTTTTTAGTTGAATCAGGTGAAGACAGAGTTAAAATCACATAGGATTTGCATTTTTAAAAAAGGAAAGCACTAGGGTCGTTGGCACTGGAGTAACTATTTACACGGAACAGGCCTTTGACATAACATCGATACAACGCATTTTCCAAAGTCTGAGAAATAACAAGGTTCTGTCTTGAATGCTTCACAGAGGAGGTTCGGATTTGGGGACAAGTGTCATAAATGAGGGCCATGGAAGTTCGTCGGCTTCAGAGTCACATGCAATCTGATCCTGGACGGTTCTGGCTGCCGGGCAGCTGGCTGGGAGCTGGAAGCTAACAGGGAGGGGACACCTCTGGGACAGGCCTCTCGTGGGCCGCCGGGCTCACAGGTTCTCGCCGGGCTGGTACTGGGGCTCGGTGGCCGTGAAGTAGTCCTCCAGGAAACCCTGCAGGTACTCGAAGGTGGGGCGCTCCTCGGGGTCCTTCTTCCAGCAGTGGATCATGAGCTCGTGCAGCGAGATGGGGCAGTCCTGCGGGCAGGGCATCCGGTAGCCGCGCTCCACCTGCTCCAGCACCTCGCGGTTGTTCATGCCTGCAAAGACATGGCAGTGAGAGTGGCCCGGCCCCACCCGCCAGCCCCCTCTTTTCTTCAGGGCTGCACGTGGCTAATGCATGGAGAGGCCCAGCTCTCTGGAGTGGAAACCGCCAGGGTGGAAAGGGTGCGTGGAATGGACACAAGCAAAGACCTGGACACGCACAGAGACCCGGTTGACTCTCAGGCACAGAGGGGAGGGAGCCAGGCTCAACGGCTGCACACTGCATGGTGTTACCCCACAAAGCTCTAGAAAAGGCGAAACTACAGAAAGCAGACAAGGGGCTGGCAGTGGGAGGGGCTGAGGGCGCTCTGAAGGCGGGAGCGTGGCAGGGCTGGAACACTTTTCCTAGGGCCAGATAGTACATATTTTTGGCACTGCAGGTCACATATGATCTCTGTCTTCTTCATTTTTAAACGGCCTTTAAAACATACAAAACAAACACAGGCTGGAAGCCAGACCTTTCCCCCCACCTGTAGTCACTCCATCCTGTTCTATGTCACAGATACGGGGGTGTGACTGTGTTTGTCAAAACTCATTGAACTGCATTCTCAAAACTGCTAAATTTTATTGTATGTAAATCATACTTAATGAAGTTGACACAAATATACAAATAAAGCCTTTGTTGAATGAGAGCACACTGTTCTTTGTTTAGAGCCCTTGTAAGTGCCACGTTTGAATGCTATAACTTGACGTTCCTCAGGCTGGGCGAGTCCTGGGCGCCCTACTCTCCAAGATCTGCCATCATGTCCACATGGCTGACACCGTTTGACCTGGGGACCTCACAACACCCTGTGGTTGGGTGCCTCTAACGGGAGGACAGGGCATCTCCAGCGCCTGTATTGACCAATGACCCCAGCCAGGCCATCTGTCATTGGTGACTTTCTTGATCCTTTGAGGGAGCTGCCTGGGGTTGAGGCCCTAACGGAAGACGCCGTAGGAGTTGCTGACTCTGAGGCACCCAGTCTCCTGCATGTTGACCTTCTCGACAGTATGAGTCCCCAACATACAAATGAGTTCTGTTGCGAGAGCATGTTTGTAAGTCCAACAATGTCAGCCTAGGCACCCACCTAACACAATCGGCTATATAGCACCAGCTATATCCCCGCTGCTTTGACGCTTGCTCCCGGACATCCTGGGTTTGAAATAAAGATACTGCACTACTGTACTCTATACATACAGTACAAAGTACACAAAAGTACAACTTGTAGAGGATGCACACATGAGACAATGGACGCTAGGCTTACGTGATGGGACATGCGAACACACATTCGTATCTTTGAAGGTTCAGAACTTGAAGGTTCATATGTAGGGGACTCACTGTACAGGAACACCACACAGAGGGAGGCCAGCAGCCTGGCTTCTTTCCTGACTGTTGCTGGGCACTCGTCTCTCTCTTCCATCATGCCACCTTCTGCTATCTCCCTACCAAGTCGTGGTATGTTTTGGCTACTCCCTGGGTCCTGAGCCTGTGATCTGGATCCCACTCAATTTATAGCCTGGTTAATTCACAGAAGCAAAAACCTGATCTCAAGTCATAAAGAACCCTGGATTTCATTCCCTTGTCTCTCAGGGCCATGGCAGGAGAACATGGCATACCCCTGTTGATTCTGGAAGGGCCGGTGGCAACCCACTTGCTACAAACCTGTCAGCCTGGCCAGGGGCACTGGGCACAGAGCACAGCTCTGTTACTTGGGCAGGGGACACTCAGGCTTTGGATCTGCTGCCAATTCTCATTATCATGTTGTTACTGTTGGAGCTGGGTGCATCCCAGCTACTCCTGGCTGTCAATCACGGCCCTGTCAGTCATACGTCTGTGCAAACCTTTCAGAACGCTTTCTTATTTTCTGTCTCTGTAACTCTTGAGGTGAGACAATCCAGAGATTGTTTCTGTTGCACAGAAGTAGGTCTTCGAGGCAATTATTATAAAATAACCTGCCTCATGTGTCAGGTGACCCTTTATTTTAGGAGCAGGGTTTGGAGATGGAGTCTGGGTTCCAGCCTTGATGGGCCTTCTCAGCTGCCTGTGCAGGGGGAGAGACTGCTAAGCTCACTGGCCTTCAACTTCTTCCATCTGCTGAAAACGCAGATGGGGGAGCTGGCAGCAAGGGATGAGGCTGGGGCTGCCTGGGAGCATGACACGTCCACTCCTCGGGGCTCTGGACAAGCAGGCCAGGGGAGGGGGCCAGCAGTCCTCACCCACAGCTCTGAAAGACCCAACAGTCTCTGAAAACCAACATTGTTTTAACTCACTTGGCCACAGAACTGATCCAAACGACCTCATTTGGCCACGAAACCTGACCTGGTAAGCAGCCACACATGGTTTCTATTTCTTCATGCATATTGCACGGAAAGGCCAGGAAGGCGGAGAGGTCACTGCACACCATGACTGGCGTCTCTGCAGTGCCCAATCCACCGTGTGCTCAGTCCAGTCTTTGGTTTCCTCATATTCCAGGAATCTCCCCGCACTCTGTCCTGGCTGAGCCTACGGGGACTGAAGGGAAGAAGGGCAGCTGGCCTGATGCCCAAGGGGGTCGGACGGGCCCTTATGGAGGGGCTCCCCCCATGCCCCCAGTGCTTTATCCTGGTGCTGACGCTCCATCCAGCATGGCGCCACATGATTGACCCAACCATGCTGCCACTGCTCTGTGGAGCTTATGCCAGCCCATGTTTCATTTCATTAGAAAACAACTCTTCAACTGGAAAGACTGCACATTTTTAAGAAAGTCTTAATTCCACCTCTGCCAATGGAAAGTTTAATTGGCCACTTGGGTCAAGCCTGTTTTTCCAGTGCTTGGCCCAAGCCTCAGACACGGAAGAGTTGGCTGCATGGACCCCAGCACGCGGCCCCTCCCGGGGCAGCCTGCTTCCAGGGAGTGTGGAGCCGGGGACGGGCCAGGCTGGCCCATGTGGGGAACCGCAAGCCAGCACGGTCACTCAGGGCAGAATCCTGCTCAACGCTGCCTCCTCTCCTGCCTGCACTCCTCCTCTCCTCCCCTGTACCTTTTTTTCCCCAGACCTCTCGAGGCAGGGGGAACACATGAAAACAATCCCACATACCGGTCAAGTGGAAACAGACCAGTGACGGCTTTGGCAGAAAAGTGGGAAACTTGACAATGTACTTGGCCGACAATGACTGTCGGAATGGGACTAGCTCTCTCTCAGTCATCCGAGGCCAGAACCCACACGGGCTGACTGCAGACCCGGTGTCCTCACAACGTACTTCGGTGACAGTGTGCAATCAAGACGAGCCCATGCAGCAAGGCTTAGGCCCATTCTCACGTGACAAACAACAGCTAAGTTAAGTGGACTGTGTCCGAGGCTGAGTGTTCCTCAGTGAAATGCTTAGGACTGGAAGTGCTGCAGATTTTGGAGTTTTTAGGATTCTGGAATATTTACACTGTACTTCCTGGTTGAGTATCCCTAGCCCAAAAATCCAAACTACTCCAGCGAGCATTTCTGTGACTGTCATGATGGTGCTTAAACAGTTTCGGATTTTGGTGCATTGTGGATTTCTGATCTGGGAGACTCAACTTGTATTTATAAACAGTATTCTCAGCTTTAAGATCTTTGAAAACCATGCTTTTGTTAGGAAGGAAATTGCTGCATCTTCTTTTTTAGCCACTTTCCCCCAAGACACTGGCTGTGCCTAATACCCGGGAGGTGGGGCAGAGAATGGAAAGGAGCTACAGAGGGGCACGGAGGCCCAGGATGGTCAGGAGAGTCCTGGGGACACAGGGCACCAGAGGGAAGACTTCATTGTCCTCCAACTGAGGAACTGGATGGTGCTGGGAATATCTTTCTTCTTCCTGCTTTTGTTAGTGGGGAGAAAAAGAAGAGATGGAAACCTTCAAACTCTGTGTCTGGCACGTTTCAAGGAAATGCTGTCATACATACTTTGGGCTCCCAGGTGTCCTACGGGAGCTGGAGCAGGGAGCATTCGCAATGCGGGTTGAGGGATCTGCTGACCAGGGGTGGTCCTGCTGTGGGAAGGGCCATGTCTTCATGGTGTACGTGTTTCCTGGTTCCCAGTCTCGTGTGGGAGAAGAGGCTGAGGGCTGGGCAGCTGGCGGGTGCAGAGACCATTGCCTGGCTTCCCTCCAACCCTCTCAGGTAGAGAGGCTACCACCACCAGCTTCCTTCCAACCCTCTCTGCCTCTGCCCTCCTAGCCCTTGGCAGCAGCCTGCCTCTCCTGCTCTCTCTGTCATCTCTCAGGAAAACAGGCCATTGTGGCGGGTCACTCTCACAGGGTATAACCCGACAGCACTCAATCCATGCCAAGCCTCAGCTGTCTGCTGCATAGGGGCCTGCCTCTGAATCTCTTTCCCAGAGCCTCTGTGGAAGCCTCCTGTCACCTTGGATTTTAGGCTTTCGCCATGGTCCTCGATACGGCATCATTTCTGACTGGTCTGTCCAGAATGCTGCAGCTGGGACTCTGCAGCCAAGGGGGCTGGCCTTGCCTCCCACAATTAGGGCCACGTCATCCCCTCCAGGTCATCTTGCTGCTTTCTGGCAACTGGGAGGTCCATTTCCCACTCTTACTTCAAACACAAGCTGTGACAGCTGCCAGCAATGTCTACTTTCGTCTGTGTGTTTTCTTTCCCCTTCTCTCCTGTTTTTCCTCTTTTCTTTTTTTGATCCTCTTCTTTGAGCCGTGTATGAACTCAGTCTGGCCTCCGTCTTCTCCTTAGATTCTCTTGGAAAGGAAGAAAAACCTCTTTCATCAGCAGAACACCAGGCTAGACGTCACTCCCTAACTTGGACTCTCAGAAGGTGGCTTGATTTCGCTGGCCTCAGTTTATTAATTTGTCAACAAAACACCTCGGCATTTGCTGTGCCCTCAGCTGCTCAAACATAGAGTGGTTCTACATCTGCGTGGAGCTCAGAGGAGCCACATTGCTGTCGGGGATTTTACCTTTCATCTGCCCGTGTTTGCATCTGAGTTTGACTATGGGTTGCAGGAGCCTGGACTTCAGTGCCGTGTGAATAATTAAGTAC